CCATCTCCTGGTCAGGGCAAGTGAGCTTTCAACCAATTCCTCACCTCCGATGCTGCCCTTCTGCCATGGTGGGAGACTTGTGTCATGTGTAAGACGAGTGAGAAGGGGCTGGAATGCAGAGGGCGACGCTGGCTCAGCAGGCCTGGTGCTGGCCCAGCCGCTGCCATTACTCCTCTCCTGACAGCTGACGGTGCTGAGCACCATAGCGCTTTCCTTATAGGTGTTCAGTAAATATTAATTTCATCCTGCTGGAGAGACGATCTTTTTCCTTGAAATAAGACACAGAGAGCTAAATGGAGCTAATGGATATTTAAAGATGTATGCTGGGATGAATAGCTTCAGGAAATTTGTGATACTATCATTGGTATGAATGAGACAAGTAAATATTGCTTATAATAGCTTTGTAGGCTGATTTTTTTTTTTTTGCTATTTGAAATCTTATAAAATAATTCACGTTTTCCTCTATGAAAAAAAGAACTCCTAATAAGCTATAAATTGCACAAAACACACTTCTAGTCAAAACGCCTACCTTTCAATTCTTTTATGACTATCTCTCCTTTTGTGTCTCTGAATAATAGTTATACGTGAGTTATTTCCAAACTTTAACCTTCTGTCTGCATGTCATTGAAGTGCTACATAAAAGGCCTGAAGCTGTTGACCTCTATATCTAAAACAGAGATCAAACAGCTGGCTATAATGTCAAAATTAAAATGCTGTTCAGAAATCTGTGGCTGTCGACTATGATTTTTATTTATTTCAAAATTCTAGAATTCTCATAATATACTTATTAGGAAGCTTTTTAAAGTTCTACAATAATTCCCTCAATTTCTGTTTTCTGCATTAATGCTGACAGAGGCTTTCCTAAATGGAACAGAGATTCCAGGAATCGCTGCGCTCAAATCTTCCCCTTCATAGAGATGCTGCGAGTCATCTGGCTTTTCCCCTACGTGCATTTCTCTCCCTGATGTTCCCTGCACGTGGTTTTCTACTGATTACTTGGACACTTTCCGTGACAAAATCCTCCCTGTCCATGAAGCTGATGCATCACCTAATGTGTTTTTCCAGTTGTTAGAAAAATGTCTCGTACAATTTAGAGTACCTGTCCCTTATGTTTCACTGTTGTTCCTGTGATAGGTTTGTTATGTAAATCTAATCCTTACTTAAAGATCATATGGTTCAGTGTGGAGCACATAGACCTAGCTTTCATCTAAGTGTCAATACTTGTTACCATATTACATCAGTGTACCATTTATTTGTGTATTGAACTCTTAATAGCACTGTCCTGTTTTCTTTTAAAAATGTCTCTACAGTACATACTATTTTTGCTGTATCTTGCTAGGCATACTGAGTCAATAATTAGAAAAATGATGAGGATGATGGTGGCATTATTTTATGTCAGCTATGTGGCATGTAGTCTCTAAGACTCATAAATACATAATTAGAATTTAAGGAATCTGCCTAATATTACGTATGTAATATCACCTTATGCACTTTCCTGTTGTTGAGATACAGTGTCCAGCCCCTGCAACCAAAGTGAGAGGATGTTTATTTTGGGTCATCATTTCAGGCATGGTGCAGGAAAAAGTACTCAACCCCTGCTAGCTAGGAAGTAGATAGGGGAGGGGGTATCCAGGGACCAGAGTAAGCCCTTCCAGGTGTGGCCCCCAGTGACCACCTCTAAGCACCCCTAGTGACCACCTCTAAGCACCTGCACCTCCTGAAGGCACATTGAGCTCCTCAACTCATGGATGGATGAATCCACTATGAGTAGAGAACTCAGGGTCCAGCCACCTTCTACATACAGGAGCATTTGGACGCTTTTTTGTCTAAAGTATAACAATATCTAGAAAAGCTATTTGTTCAAGTTCAAGTTAGACGCTAAAAGGCTTCTCACTTTAAGCTCATCATGCCTCATTCCTTTGTTAAGTGAGGTAATGTTATCTTCCTCATAAGATTTTATGACACTCAAACAACAGCCTATAAAAATATTTGCCATCCTTTCTTAAAAAATACTCCCAACATGTCTTTTATTTATTTCAAAGACAGTCTTTTAAAATAATCTTTTCTTTCCTTTTTATCCAGTTTCCTACTTTTTGGGATAAATACCCCCAGTTCCTTTCAACATCAACATTCTTTAGACAGGTACTTTGGAGCTCACTGCCCTTTTGGAATTCACATTCCAGAGGAAACAGGTAACGAACAATGAACATGATAACCAAGTGCATAACTTTCTGTATTAATGATAATTGTCACCATTGGGGAAGACCAGAGGGAAAGAAATTGGAAATCTTGAAGTGAGTGTTTCACTCTCTATGATTGTTTACAAATTACCCCAAAACTTGGTAGCTTAAAGTAACAGTGATCATTTAACTTCTATGATTTCTGGGAGTGTGAAATTCAGAGAAGATATATGAGTGTGGTTTATCTGTGCTCTGTGATCTCGAGACTGTGGCGGCAGGACAGAGGGTGACCTCTGGAACCGTCTAAACATGCACTTACTCGCTTGTCTGGGACTTGACACAGGCTAACATCCGGGGACCTCAGTGCTTTCCCACATACCTGGGCTTCCACACAGCCTCTGAGCTGAGCTCCAAGAATAAGACACAGTAGAAGTTTCTTACTCTACTGACAGTGCCAGATAGAAGCAGTGTTGCCTTTTATAACCTAACCCTGGAAGTCATGCAGCTTCATTTCCAGTGCAGTCTGTCAGTGAAGGAGCTTTTAGGTCACACACAAGTTCAAAGATAAGGAACATGAGGCCCATCTCTCAAGGATGGAGTATCAGTGTCCTGCTGTAAGAAAAGCAGAGAGAGGAATGAATTGACGTAGCCGTCTTTGGAAAACACTGTCAAACGTGATAAACAGAGTGGTTTTGTTAATGAGGTAGGTTTGTCGATAAGGTAGCATTTGAGCTAAAGATTCAAAGGTGAGGGAGTGAGTCCTGTGCCTGTCTCTCTCCGTGTATTATTTTTCAAGATGGAAGAAATGGCACCATGTTTACAGGCTATTGGGAACAATCTGGAAGACAGGGAAACACAATATTGTAGGGGGGTCATCTTAGAGCTCTGTCCTCGCCTGTGCTTTCATTGTGAGGACGTTAGCTGGCCTCCTCAGAGGCTGTCAGGACATGGGCCCGAGTAACAGACAGTAGGAGAAAGGAGAAACCACCGTGAGGATACCATGGTCCTCTAAGCTGCCAGCCAGCATCTCTTTCTCCCTCCCTCCTTGGCCAAGTCTCCCACTTGCACAGGGAATGCCACACGCTGCCCCAGCCTTTTCTCCAGGGTAAAAAATCCTAAATGGAAATGAGTCACGACCACCTTTGAGCTCCTAGCAGCCCAGGATGAGCCCCTTCCTGCTGGCTCTCTGGGAAGCATCAGCCTGGCCCGAATGCTGAATGCTGTGAAGGATCAAATGGGACGCCTGCTGCCACCACAATGCAGCCAGTTTTTGTTCATTTAGGGAGAGCATCTTGGAGAGCGGTGACACCTGCCAAGAGAAGCCCCAGATGAGTCACTGAACAATTCCATTTCACCCCTAATGTCAGAAGGGACCCATCAAGAAAAGTGGCAATAAAATCATGAAAAACAAATTCCCTGGCTTTCCTTTTCTTTCCTCTGACTGTGGAAATGTCCTTCTGTTGCCCTTCACTTCCCATCTCCTCACACTCAGTGATGTAGAGTTCCCTGAGTTTAGTGCCCCTTGCTGGGGTATGTGAGGGCATCTTCCGTTCTGCAGGCTCCCATCCTGGTATATTTCACTCTTGATACCAATAGGCTGTCAGGCTTAATACTAAGAAAAATTAAGCTCCGAGATGGTAGAGTTGCTTGCCCTGTGTGAGTGGCAGTTTTGTGCACAGCTCAGATTTGTCCAAGACGTGCCACTTGCTCACATGAAATTAAAACCAACATTTCTAGCTCGTTAGGAGAGATTTGGGGGAGAGATAAACAATGCTGATTTTTGTCTTTCCAACCTGACTGTGTTGTGACCCTGTTCTACAATTACTAAGAATCCTGTAGGGATTACAAGGTGTGGATCGGTAGAGTCAAGGCAGTCTTTTAGTGTCAAGCAGCATCTCAAATGTTTAGTAGTAATATCTCATAAGGAAATTGAGTTCTTAGGACAAGACCATAGTGTGAAAAAGCTAAGAATTAATTCAGAAATGAACACAGAAGACTGTGAAATGCCTGTGGCCTATTTCATTCTTTTTCTATGAGGATTATCACGATCGAAGTGTCAGAGAGCACATGTGTGATGGAAGAAGTGACACGAGCAGTCAGTGTTAATGACACCAGCCACCTCGCCCTCACTTGTCACTGTCTGTCCCCTCTGTGCCTTGACCCCTCACTCCCTGCACTTGCCCATGAATTGAATTCTGTATTTAAAGATGGCCTTGCCCAGAAGCCCACTATCCATGTGAGCAGCCCAAGTGTCAGCATCCTGCACCCTGGCTGGAGTGGCCACTCTGACTCGGTGTTATGTTTCTGTGGCCAGTTTGATTTATGTCTTCCCTGTTGCCCTGGACCTTATATTTTCCTTCATAGCCACAGACAGTGCATGCTCTGTTTAGCCACAACACGGTTCTTCATCAGGTTGGCTTGGACTTTGCAAGGTGTTAGAGTTTTTAAAAGAGCTCGTAGCGTTCCTCACACTTGAGTTTATACCAAAGAAGTTATGGAATGATTAACTTCATAGGTGCTGTTCATCCCCAGAGATGACTTTTTATTCATGCTTCAGCCGAGTGCTGGTGGATAACAAACAACTCTTTGTAAATTGTGGTTGCAGACCCATGTGATTTTATGGCTTTTTTCTGCTGTATAAATGACTGGGTAGCTCATTAAGTTTGCTGTGTTGGATGAAAGGGCTACTCCAGAGGCACTGATGGAGAGAGAAGGAGCAACAAAGGGGTATCTGAAGCGAAGGAAGCACAGTGACCTTCTCCTACCTGCTTGTATAGCAGTTTCCCCCCTATTGACCCTTTGCTGCTTTGTCCTCCACAGAGCTGCCCAGAAGTTAAATCTGTCTTCCAAAAAGAAGAAGCATCGACCTTCTACTTCCTCTGTGGTCGAGACACCGCTCTTTGCTACTAGCTTCAGCGGGATTCTGCAGGCCTCCCCTCCCCCGGCCCCGCCCTGTCTGCTGAGGGCTGTCAACAAGGTGAAGGACACGCCAGGCTTGGGCAAGGTAGGTGCCATCTGCCACCTCTGCTGTCTGCTCACCGTATCTGGTTTGATCAGGTTTGGGAAAGAACAAAATGAGGACTCCACCTTGTTAAAATAAGGTGGCAGGGAGAGAAAGAGTCACTTTCAGTGACCAGGAGGAACAGCAGCACACCCTGGTCTATGGTTTCACTCCTATAATTGCAATTACTCATGGTCAACCTCCGCCCAAAAATATTAAGTGGAAGGGTCTAGAAACAAAT